TCTAAAGCATTTTGGGAGGTGCAGGGCAACACTACATTTTTCAGGGATGCCTCATACAATTTGATGCACAAAGTGCTGAGAGCAGGTAGAACACTTCTCAGTCCACCACAGAGACCTGAGATTGATTGATACAAGCTCTGAATTTACACTGCAGATTTCCTCTAAAGTCCTCTGCAGAAAAGTGAATTTCCATTCTTTGTCTGCAAACCAATAAAGGAAGAATGTTTTTCTGTTATTGTCTACTGCTTAATTTCCACATTACAAATCATTCTGACCTTCAAGCTCTGAATTTCCAAGTTTTATAAAGGGTCTATCTTTCTAACACACAGCCAGGAAAAGAGTTCTCTTGAGTAAAACTTCACCATTATTAGGTTCATTCTGGAGTAATGAAAATGCCTTTTTTTAAGCAGGAGTTCCGTTCAGGGGAAAGTCTAAAAACTATTTTTTAAATTTCAAGTACTGCAAGATTGTTAGTGGTGCCACAACAAGTAAATTTCAAATACTGAGTGTAATTAAGCAAAACTCAACAGACGAAGGCAAACGGATTTGATCTACACGGTGAATGGTTTTCAGACTTCTACTGTAAAAGAGTCTGCACAGTTTGATCTGAAACCGGACTAACAAAAATGAGAAATTACCCCATTCAATGGCCATGACTTTTAGAACCGATTCCCTGATACTTATCAAGGCTGTTTTTTCAACAGTGAGACTCTCACTATACATATATATATATATATAGGCAGCATTGTGTTTTGAGAAACATAAAGACCATTCTGTCACAAATTCTGAAAGCAGCACTTGATGAGGGATTGCTTGAATTTAGCAAGCTGAAGCTTTCTACTCTATCATAATCATTATGACAGTTTTACAAGGAAGATGAAGTTTATTTGCCACCAACATTAGCAGGACAAATTTATTTATAACAAATGCTTTAAAATGTACTGATAAAAATGCCTATTGATACTGTCAGAGCTGCTTGCAATTTGACAGATCAAATCTTATTTTCATTCTTAAACCCCATGAAGGAATGGTATCACCAACTTGCATTCTGTAGTGAGCAAATTGATTAATCCCCCTCTATAGAAATCTCAACTCTTGATTACACCTATCAGACGTTAAGCAGCATTATTCTAGAGTGACAACACTTGACAAATTCCCAAACCATTTTTCTCAGCCTTTGTGGCCCTGCTAGCTTGTATTAACCCTGATGAAAAATTAATTTTCCTTATCTTCTGCTAAACCCCAAAATCCAAATCCGCCAAACTGGCAACTCTTTCTGTAAAGGTATTATGAAAACCTCTAAAAGATTAATTGCATGTCTTCAGGTGACATTAAATTAATTTCTGTACTCGTGACAGACACTTGATACTCCGTACTGAGAGGACAGATAACATTGTCAGGATACACAGAAGGACAGTGGTGCAGTGTCCCAGGGCAGCCTCTTATGAATTCTCCTTTCGATAAGGCCATACTTCACTGTCACTGGCGCTGTTAGTGATCTTGCAGCCCACAGACCTCACTGCACAGGTTTCTATTAACCACCACAATGCTGTGTCTATCCATGTAATCTTTATAAAGCTAATTCAAAATCGCCCAATAGTAAAGGGATGCGCATGCCGGATAAAGCACTTAAAGGAAATAAACTCGGCTCGATTTGTGTGAAAATAACAGAAAAGTAGAATGTTTTCATCTTTTCTCGGATGCGCTGTAACTCAAATTCTCTGTAACATGATGAAAGTTTAAGTCTTGCCGGGAAATCTCAATCCAAAAATGTCTTGTAATTGATTTCCTTTAAGAAAGGAGAAACCCCCTCGTCTGTTACCAGTTTAAGTCAGTCTTTTTAAAAATGAGTACCTCTACAGTATCACAGTAAGAGGGGAAACCCCCCACCCTTTAAGTTATTAAATTTGTCTTCAAGGACAAGAGAAATTACTATTCATCAGCTATTTAGGTTTTCAAATATAAACTTGTATTTTACTGATAAGGCAACTAACTATAATAAAAAAGACAACTGTGAACCCCATGTAACAAAGAGAAATGGCAGTAAAGCAAAAACCATGCAGAGCAAGAAAGACTATCATCTAATATTACACAAGTATTCCCTCACTACAATTATCAGAAATGTATATTAAAGGCAAACCCCTCATAATTAGGTATTTCTCTCTGACTGGAGCTCCAAATGCTTTACCATTTCGCTACGGCCAGTTGACAGACTGGGGACCTGGGAATAGGCAGCCTAATCACTTGCCAAATATCCCACAACCAAGTGACATGACCACGCACTGTTTCCGAACAGCTGAAGATCTGTTTTCAATCTGTCAAATGCCAACAAGAAACACCTGGAGACCTTTTTTTAAAGGCCTTCCAAGACCCTTAAAAGCCTTTTTTTAAAATTCAGGAATAGCAGTACTTAAAAAAAACCCTGCTGTCCAGCCAGTCTACAATACACTACTCTGTCAACAGACAACTCACCATTAACAACTGGTTTAAGACATAATAATGGCCTAGTTTTGACTCAGAGTGGACACAGAAATAAGCTACGTTGGGCTACAGAAGTGGTAGAACAACCAAGGCATTCCCCGTTCACACTAGAAAAAAAGACACTTCTAGTGCTGGACAGTGAATGATTTTTCCCAGCCTAAAACTTTTGCATGGGGCGAATTTACCTGAAACAAGGGCACCCAGATTAAGCAATAACCAAATAAAAAGCAGAAGCAGTTCTCTACCTGTGATAAAAAGACACAGCTAAGCTGCTTCAGCAAGCCATGAAGTGATGACTATCTCCTCTTCTGTGCCTAATGGTCTATGAAAAGTCAGAACAGCAAGAAGAAAACGTCCTGTAAAAAACCCCAGCTAATTCCATTTAATCCCATCTACTAACTGAATTCTTACCTTAAGTATCTCCTCAGCTGCCTGAGAGGAGTACTGGCCAAAGAGATGTCAGAGGATCCTAACCATACACATGCTACAGTTGATCAGATGTCAAATCATGACGTCTTTCTAGGACAACCACCCACCAGTTTATTATGAAAAAAATATAAATTCTGTATCAAACATACAGCAAAATCAAGGTTCTGGTCTAGATTTGTATAATATTCTCAGAAGGACCTTCATTTTTATGCTGCTGTCTGCAAAATACACACTGTAGATGTCAATAAATACGTTTTTGAGCAAAATCTCCTGGTTCCCTTTTCAGTTGCCAGATTCCAGGATAATTTTTTAAATAGAGAGTTTTAGTGAAGATGGCCCAGAGCTCCTGAAGGAGCACTTCTCAGCCAGACATTAGGTATGGCACAAAGCCAGTCCTGCGTAACAGAAACCAGTACAACTAGAGCTTCCCCTTCTTGTGTCATGCCTAGTTTTCTAGTTCACGTTCCTTGAATCGTAGAATCATAGAATGGTTTAGGTTGGAAGGGACCTTAAGGATCATCTGGTGCCAATCCTCCTGCCATGGGCAGGGACACCTCCCATTAGATCAGGTTCCTCAAAGCCCCATCCAGCCTGGTCTTGAACACCTCCAGGAACGGGGCATCCATAACTTCTCTGGGTAACCTGGGCCAGTGCCTCACTACCCTCACAGGGAAATATTCTTCCTGATATCTAATCTAAATCTCCCCTTTTTCAGTTTCAATCTTATAACTAATGGCAAGTCAAATCCCTCTGGTGTGTTGCCTGAAGCTCCTTGTAGAATCTTGGCATAGACAACCCACAGGACCTCCCTCCCCAACCCCTCACAGCGTCAGGACTCTCCCGTCACAGAGCACACCTCTGTATTAAAGGTCTATTCCAAGTGGTAAAACCTGAAATACCACTTAAAGGGATTTGTGACTTCTTGAAATATTAAATTTAAATCTGACAAATCTGTATGTTTTTCCCCCCCAAGTTAAAGAGTTTGTTTTCCATTAGTTTTCATCTGAAAACCAGCTCTTTCTCTTTGTACTGCACTTCAGCAGTGTCACAGTTGCCTTTAGTCATTTCCTATCAGGAAACTGGGCTACTAGATACTCCATAACACCAACATCGTGTCAATATGAATTCTGCACTACAACACTTACGATGGCAGAAAAACTCTCCTTGGAGACTTAACAAGAGCGACAAGCAATATCAAACGCCTTGCTTTCAGGGTGTTTGGGAGGAAGCAGCACTTTTCAACATACAATTTAAAAGTCTCCTGAGGAAAAGGAGAAACCTGTTTTGCAGCCTACAGTAGGAAATACTTTATTGCACTTTAGTTCCAAGTTATCCACAGCAAAGTTAAATTCAATTTAGGTAGATATCTCTTCCCCCTTTCGAGGATTTTATTACAAACCCATAAAAAGTACTATCTGCGTCTGGTTTGGCTGTCACCTTAAGACCTGCTAGTGCCTAAGTGTGTCCACACGTGCCCTTGTATTTTATTTTTCCACCAACCAAATATGCCCCAAAGAGTACAGCACAGCCTGGCGCACTGCCCATAGCCATGAAATACTCTGTCTCACTGGAGGTCTGAGAGGAAAGGGTTTATTGCTCATTTCCAAACGTTTCATGAAAATACTATGCCTTTTTTATAACCAGAATATCCCAGGGCTCCCTGACTTCCTTTTTTTTTTTTGTCTGCTTTTTTTGTTGTGGAATTAAGAAATTAATGTGTATTTGTGAAATATTTCCAGAGTGAAATTGAGTGCAATCTTTCAGGTTGTGGCAGGCAGAGCGCTTTTCAACAGCATCTACATCAGTCCTGCTCCAAAGCTCCTGTCCATTTTTGACACTCTTAAGTGACAAACAGGGTACTTGGGCAATCTGATATCATGATTTCTGAAGCTCCCTCAGTCTGTTGCTGATGGAATATGGACATGATCCATGTTCTGGAGTTGTTTCGTGCAGCTGGTAGCGCTGCAGAGCTGGGTGAAGGGCTCCCTCAACAACTGGTCATGCAAATGCCAAAAACCTTAGTGTTTGCAATTCCTGACATATTTAGATGAAAGGCGCTATAGAGCTTTCAAGTCAAATATTTTTAATTAAACTTGAACATACACATGCAAGTAGAAACAAGTACAAACATTAAGCAAAGTTTGTTGATAAGGTTACATTATCAAACAAGAATCATCCCAATCAGTATCTTTTTCCATATTTAGAATTCCATATTCATCTCTCACACTTCCCAGTTACTCTAAATACGAATAAAGTTGTCTATATTCCATTCCAAGTCTCTTTTTCTTTTTACAATTCAAGGTCATTTTTTGTGACAGGCCTTTAAAACAAAAGAACTTGTCGACTCTTCAAGCTTTTCAGATAGAGCATTTCGGGTTTTCAGGAATTAAGACTGCGAGTAAGATACGGCTTCTAATCCAACAGGGAACACTGAGATCTCAATGTATTTATATATATATGTATTTAAGAAAAAAAGCTCATTGTGCAGTTCTCCACAGAGACAAAGAATGGTGTGTTCTTGGTGCAGCATAAGAACCAGCATTTTCAGGCGTTTGGGACAGACACACATCTCTTTGAGCATGGCAGGCCATTTTCTGGCTAGAGAGAAATCACCCAACAACAATATAAGATGACTGAATGATACAGAGATTTTTAGATTATTACCATTTCCCCATAGAACCTCCAACTAAATGAAAAACATGTTCAGCACATATTTCACACAATCTTAAGATATTTAAGGCTGTAGCTGGTACAAACCTGTTCTTCCAGGACTAAAGACAATTCTAATATATTGGTTGAAGGAATTCAATTGCACTTGGTACTGGAACTATTCACTGACAGACTGATCACAGAGAGCCCAAAGGAGACCAGCACAAGCAGCCAAGGTGTTAGAAACATACCCCATCAAGAGGGAGTGAAGGACATGAGCGCTCAGAAACAGTTAAGAAGTCTTTAAGGAGAGAGAGAGCCAAAGAGAAATATAAATCCTTTCCCGAGATATAATACAATAGGTCATGGATTCAAAATTGCAGCAACAAAATGTGTGGGTTTGTTACAAAGAAAATTCTCCTAGATGTACAGACACTGGAATAGATGGCCAAAGCAATCTCCAGTAATGAGATCTTAGAAAAATGTTGGTTCGTTCCCCCTTCAAGACAGAATAAATTATTTCCATGGTCCTTTCACTCGTATTTTCCATAATTTTATTATCATATTCTTAAGCAATTTGTTAGGGTGTTTCTTCCCAACAAACAACATTCTACAACTTCACTGAGTTTATTCTTATACGTATCCTTAGGATTGACTTCAGGCTCCTCATTAAGCCAGGTAAATCTCAGACGTTTTCTTAAGGAAAACATACTAGTATGAATACTCAGCAGATATGCTGAACTTCTGTATCTGGAAAGGATGGCTCTGAAGACATGCCACACAATCCATAAAGCAGACCAGATCCATCAAAAGATGTTTAGGCCTTTGTAGAAAAAAAACAAAAACACAACACAAATCTCAAAATTCATCTGCTAAACACTAAGCACTGCCTCATTTTCCAGGCACATAAACTTTAAAGGAGTAATTAAAATTGAAAACTATTAACTGTAGTGTCATTCCTGCATAAATTACAGGAGCATTAGAAAGGGATGGGCAGAGCAGCATTGGGGGGCTGGGGGTGGTGGGGGAAGGAATTTGTTTTAAAAAGCATCAGACAAAATCATTAATGATGGTTCCTAACACTTGTCACCTTGATACAGAATCATAGAATGGTTTGGGTTGGAAGGCACCTTAAAGATCATCTAGTTCCAACCCCCCTGCCCTGGGCAGGGACACCTCCCACTAGCCCAGGTTGCTCAAAGCCCCATCCAACCTGACCTTGAACCTGGCCCCAGGGATGAGGCATCCACAGCTTCTCTGGGCAACCTCTCCCAGTGCCTCAGCACCCTCATAGTGAAAAAGTTCTTCCTAATATCTAAATTCATCCTCTTCCAGTCTGAAGCCATAACCCCTCATTCTATTGCTACATGCTCTTGTGAAAAAGTCCCTCCCCAGCTTTCTTGTAGGCCCCCTTCAGATACTGGAAGGACACGATAAGGTCTCCCCAGAGCCACCTCTTCTCCAGCCTGAACAATCCCAACTCTCTCAGTCTTTCATATACAGACTTAGTCTGACATACAGGAAATGCTGAGTCATTTTCTACTTCCCTTTTTTTTTAAATATAAGAAGCCATAAATTAATGTGTCTCATGCATCAGATAAAGTAGACAAATATTTCTTGGAATGTAATTAGTAATGCCTACAATTCCATAAAAATAATTAAAAAGCAAAATCCTCTCAAGACAGAATATTGTGGAAACAGATGAAAAGCCATTTTACCTTAAATAACAAGTGATACTTCTATATGGAGGTCGGAGATCCTCAGTAGTACTGCTATGCCCAGCAATACAAATAAACAGAGTTAGAAGCTTAGACTGGGAAAAATATTGCCCTCAAGAGAAGAAAACCATTATCTTCTGACAGTATTTGTACACCATAATTTCGCCAATACACCGAGTACATCTCCTGAAGTGTTAAACAAAAAGCTATTACCAGCAATATTTACTCCTGTTCTACAGATGGTCCTACTAAATCTAAAATGGTCCTTGCTACCAGTTCCTGGTTAGATCAATTTGCTCTGACTAGAGTTAGTGTGGGTCTGGCCTCAATCAGCTCCTTCCACTGACAGTCCTGCTGCTGTGGTGGACCATGGCTGCCAGGCTGAAAGAGAAGGGACTCTCCAAGTCTTTGCCAATAAGAATCAAGAGAACTTAGAAAAGGAACATGCATTGTGTCTAATCGCAAGCCATCTCACTCATACACGGGTATTCAAAACACCTCTGCACAAAAACACTTCTAGAAAGGAAGAAAGGTAGAAGTAATTAGAGAAATGGCTGGGCTGCTTAACTGCAGGACCAAGTCAGTGCCTACCGATAAGGGATACCAGCCAACCCTTTGGCCAAAGGCAGGGAATTAGAGGAAGCACTACTACACGGCTAGGAAAAATGAGATTTAGCTTTTGCTTTATATTTAGGGTTGAGGCAAAAGCTGTGAAAATAAATAAAGCACGTGGCAGCACTAAATATTAGAAATGGAAACTAAATGGGATCTGTGACATTTATAGTATTCAGAGTCCAAGCAGCTTTTAATACTTCTTTAAAATCCGGTCAAAAACGACAAGATCTGCCCCACCACCCCCACTGCTCATTTTTTTCCTTTTTCCTTGTGTGGTCAAAGAAACCAAGTCATAGATTCAGCTTGTCACTAACTGATTAAAAATTAATCAACTATCTTGATCAGTGCTAAACAGCTAATTGCAGCGCTTACTTTTATTCTTCCACAGCTGAAAAACTTAAAATGTCTACAGCAATATGAAAAAAATGAACAAAGGCTACATGTAAAGAACCTACGTTACCTTGCTAAAACCTTGGTATCTGAAAGTTAAGAAGGACAGAGCGAATTTCTTCCTGTATACAATGAAAGAGGGGTTACGAACCCCATTTAATAAAGCTAATTGCTCTTGCTTACCACGAGACTCATCTGAAACAATTTATGGTTTTCTGAAATAGAGCATTATGATAAAAATTGTGAATGCTACTGTGGGCACTGATAACCATTTGTTACGAAGAGCTGTATACAGTGCTGACTGGCATTGTTTTGTTTCACCACATAATAAAAGAAGTTGTGCATGATTGCTTTATTCAATTATTCATGAATAACAAACCTGTCAACTCTTGCAGGCTACTGGGATTCCTGCAGACATTTATATATATTTTTAGCCCAACAGAGTCAATTTCTTTCAACTTCTTGTATTCTTCTGTACTTAAGTTATCACATCCGAGGAATTAGACATCCTCCAAGTGGGGCTGTTGCCAGCTCTATGTAGTCAGTAAGGCCTTAATGTTACTGTTTTGAAAGACCATGTGGTCATTATGTAGCTCACAATTTTAAGTGTATTTAAGTTTTATGAGCTGTAGAAAAACATTTATAAAAATAGTTAAGACTGGTATTTTGACTTCCTCCCCATTTCTGCAGAGTAAAGCCTAGCCTCCGAGGCCTTGTTCAGTTGCTGTTAACACACTGTTTACTTCATTACAGATTACAGCAGTTCTGCAAGTTTCCCTAATTAATGCTCCGAATAATTTTAGAAGCATTCTTCAAAAAAAAAAAAAACAAAAAAAAAACCAACCACCTCCAATGTATGACAGCATTAAACATTAAACCACATTTCCTTCCCTCCTCTTCAGCATAAACCCGAGGACAGATTTCACCCTGACGACACGATCTAGCTATGTCCCTTCGTGTTGGTTTCTTTACAGCCCTAACAAATTAACTTGTCTTTTCATTAAGACAGAAGAAATTTGGTCAAGATACTTTCTAACCAAAGCCCCAGATCTTAAATATGCACGCTGCCATCAAGACCAGCATTGTGAGTCCTCCACAACACCGGTGGCTCAAGGGACACTCTGCACATAATAGACCCCTCATCAAAAGATAAGGAAATCTCATTTAGATGCAGAAGTGAAATGGCTAACGTTTTAAACCCGGCCTCTAACAGAAAACATCCCCCTCCAACACACTGCTTAAATTAGTTTCACAACATGCTTCCCAAGAAAATGAAAACAATCTTCCCTTGAGTACAGGAGCCACACTGACACCAGCATGCAACTACATCAGGTGGCTCCAACTACCAAGCAAGCAGAGCGCAGGGTTTTAACCAGACCTTAAACAGCCAGCCAAATCCTGATTTCTGACCCATTATCAGACCTATCAACCTTAAGCCAAAGGAGCTCAGTTCAGGAGTATTTCAGAGTCAAGTTACAACTCAGAAGTGTTATTTCAATGTGATTTCGGAGATAGCTGCCTGGCAGTAAAGTGTTACAGCAAACATTAATTTCTGAATAACTGCTAATAATAACTTACAGTTCTGAAAATATAAAATACAGCCTGTTAGGTCTGCTAAATCTGCTACTTCCCTCATCAGCTTTGGCCCAGTTTTTATTTGGGGATTACACAGAATGAAACAGACAGAAACAAACCATGAGGACACACAGACACGAGATGAGCCTTGGAAACTTACCCCTCCTGACAACTTAATCACCCTGACTTTGCTGCCGACATGGGGCCCTTCTCCACTACCACTGTTTGTCCGCTGCATGACAGTCCTTTTCACGCCGGGTTTCAGTTCCTGGGGCCTTGCTGTGACAGAAGCCACTCGAGCAGTCTGTGTGGTGGGCACCGACGCCGCAGCAGGTTTGGTCTGTAAGACTTTCTGGGGTGCCGGAGGCTGACTGGGAGGTACCGTCCTCGTCTGCCTCAGCTGCTTCACCGGCTTCACCTGCTGTCCTTGATACTGCACGTTCCCCCCGACCTGGGGGAAGTCTGTGGGTTTGGACTGGACATTTGGAACTACCGTGTCTTGCTTTTTAACAAGGAGTCTGTTTTTCACATTTTGCCTGGTCTGTAAGCCAGAGTGGGGGATGTAAGGGCTGCCGTTGGTGGGGAACTCGGAGTCGTCGTCCTCCTGCTGCATGTAGGACTGTTGGGTAGAAGGTTGCTGCTGCTGCTGCTGCGCCAGTCTTTCCAGCAACTCCCTCTTCCTGGCACCAGCCTGCTGCTGCCGTCTCAGCTCCTTCTGCTTCAGAATCTCTTCTCTTAGACGTTTCTGCTCCTCTATCTTCAAACGATACAGCCTAGTTTCTTCGTCTTCATCGGGATACTGCAAAGGAAAATACAAATGAATTTATGAAGTTCTCAACAAATGCTCCGCTCGGGTCAAAACAACATTAAATTGTTTCAGATGTCGTCAAGCTGTAACTCTCCGAAGAGGTTTTTAAATTATCCGTGACACCAAACTAAGGCTATTAGTGAAGTGCATCTGCTGGTGAGGTTTATTTGCTATTCATTACAGACAAACAGCTCAAATCTGGTTTAGAACTTGGATATCCGACTTCCTAGACAGGGAAAAAAAAAAAAAAAAAGAAAAAGAAAAAGAGCTGTAATACCAGTTGAGAAATCTTATCAGAATACTAAAAAAAAATACAAAGTTTCACAAATTGGAATTAATTTAGAAGTTTCTAAAACCAATTAAACTACTAATATAATTCAAGATATCAAAATATGTTTCAAATGGAAAGCAACAATACAGAGGCAACCTACTGTCACACAGGTTTTATCTTGCTCTTTTCTGACAAAGTAACAAAAGGTAGAGTGGTAAATGACCTGAAAGGCCCTGATTAGAACTATTGATTTTTCTCACAGAATTTTCAGCCTGATCTCAAACTCATTTGTCACACAATAATTGGTTATAATGAACAGCACAAGTCAATCTCTCTGACCTTGAACTCGTGCACTCTCTTCAGAATCAAAATGTTGCCAAATGCAGTGTTGGAATATTAATGGTATATAGAGAATGCCTTTAATATTCCAGGCCTGGGCCCTCCAGAAAGTATTGCACACCATCAAATAACCTTTCTAAAGATTCTTCAACTTTGGCACAATGGGTTTTTATGAAAAGCTGTATAAAAGTGGACAAGAATCAAGGAAATGCAGATTCTCATCATCCTAGAAAAGAAATCAAAGTGCTTTTGTGATCAATCAAATGCAATTTTTAAAATCACAGAGCATACTTTTAAATTATATTATTTTTTATTTTCAACTGTTTGAAATATTAAGTTAGAGACATATAGAGACTGCTTACAGATGGTAACAAGCATATCTCTACTGGAGATATCCTAATCCCCCTAATAGAAACAGGCTCTCAAAGTAACAATACTTTTGCATTTTGGTACATTACAGCAGATAGAATGCTAAAACGTGAATCCATGATGGAATTATTTATCTCACAGTAACTGGGTGGAAGCTCTTATCAACACAAATGTCTTTTTTGCACACAGAGGACCCAAACTTACAACAATTATTTTATTTTTTTTTTTATTCAAATGCTTTTATCCCTGGTACAACCCAGGAAAAAAAGAGAAGATACAATCAAAGTTGGTTCACAGGTATAAAAGCCCAGTGGAGAAGTATTTATACTCATAGAATCCAGATGCACAAATCCTGAATGCTTGTTTCCTTTAGATGTCACTGCTTTGTCCCTGAGCACCTACTGATAGGGACTCACAGTGATTAAGAAATAGCTGCACGTCTTGCACTAAAAGTCCAGCCTAAACAAGGGCTAAACCAAGACTTCAACAAAACTGGATTTTTATTTTATTTTTAATACGGGCTATAGTTCTGAGATGAGGCTTAACATTGTCCTTTTCAGGGGAATGCTTCATATATGAAAGGATTCTGATCTTCCTCTATACTGTTCAGACTACAATAGCAGTGATTAATGGCTAATCACTATAACAACTAGATTACAGGTCTTTGACAGATGGTAACAAGAACATACTTCTACAAAGTAAAAGGGGTAGTAGTAGTAGTAAACTCAAATTTCATCTGAAATTGCAAACTGGAGATGATGGATTGTAGTAAAAAAGATAAGGCCCTTTCAAAATACAGTAAAGGGGTAAGACCCTTAAATAATGTTTGCATTGGATGACAAAATACAGGTAAGCTTCAGACAGGAGGAGGATGTGCTGTTATGCAGGTCTTGATTCAATGAATAAAATTTTCAGTCACTTTCAGAGACAGTAGATATCTCGGTGACTGAAACTGTCCAAACACAAAAGCTTTTCCACTTAATTCACTAATGAATAAGTTTATTCACTTGCTTTGCTTTAGATCAGAACATTCTACATTTTATCTAAACAGGTTTGATGGATGCCAGTGAGCCAATACCAAATTTACCTTTGGAGGTAGTGCTGTACTGTTTTTTTTCTTTATGTTCAGTTGAGGGTGTCAAAACTAACAAGAATCTGCACAACCAGCTGTCCTTTATTATCAGAGACCTGTCTGTTCACATCATCATCTACCAGTTCCAAAGGCCTTGGAAGATGTAGATCACGATTTAGTAACTACAAAACATTAACTCAAAGGCTACACATAGCAGCACAGAGATGTGTACTTCGTGGCACACTTAAATGAGTCTTGCCAGCAGACAAGGTACAAACATCCTGAGGGACTCTGACCAATACATCTGTGCAGCAGGGACAGACACACTGATTTCAACCATAAGAGCATTAAACACAGAAGACAACTGATAAACTGTATTACCTATGAAATTAGATGACTGCTTAGTAGTATCTTCAGGGAACTTGATCTCAAATATAATCTGAAATTTTCCTTTCAGGAACTCACTCAGTACTTAGGAAATCAGTATGGATCCTTTTAATTCCTTCCAAAAGGATAAGCTTTGAAATCAAGATCCAAGAGCTCTGAGGTTGTATGACAACTGTGGATCAGCCCATTAATGGTCTGTAGAGACCTAAATCTTTCCTCTTCATAAGCAAGTTGCCACTACTGTTAAGTTCTCAGTAAAATAGTCTTACAGCTAGAGTAAGACAAAACAATATAGAAAAATATTAGGAGTGAAGTTTAATTGGAATTAGTTGTGCAGTGACCCAACAGTGCAGACTCAGAATGGGCAACAAACAAGTCTTCATAAAAGGTAAGGCCAGATCCAAATTACATCCTTTGTCTGCTTGTGTTCAAAAACCACAAGGGATCTTAAATAAAGGCACCTACGTAGACAACACACATTTCACATCACTGATGACATCAGCTCCTGAACCTGAGGAAGGTATGAGCCACCCTACAACACACAGGAGCTATGGTTCATGGACAAACAGGAAGAGAATTCAGAACAAGGTTTCTTTGAGAAACACACTGCCCTCTTGTGATCTTCCAACTGGAAAAAGACTGCAATAAGAAGAATCTTCTAAGCACAAGACAGGAAGCACCATTATAAAAGTTTGGAAATCAAACCTATTTATACTGGAGAAAACTCAAATTCAGACATGTACAAATTTTCAGGTAGTTAACTTTCAAAAATTTGAAAAGGATTTACATAAAATTTGCTCCAATAACAATGTAGCAACTATTTGCCATATTGCAAGTCTTTTAAAAAAAAGACAGCAACATAAAACCCAACAACCCAACTTCAAAATTTACTGTAGTTGGAAGAATGGAATGCAAAGGTTTTCTTTCAGTATATCAGGGTCATTAACTGCAATATAAGTAGAAGATCAGTATACCTATCATTATGCAGTGCTCTAATTTCTCTCCTGTTCTGGGCTCCAATAGCCATTTCTTCTAAAGAGATTCATATCACCTTTCTACATTCTCCTCCTCCTTTTAACTCAAAAATGGTTAATATTGCCTTAATTCCTCTTATCCTAAATTGACCCCAATATAAGCAGAATTAGGCCCACGGTCATCACCCATACTTTCCAATTTAATTGACAAACTGATTTTTCTGACTCAGGATATGAGAGCTACAGCTATTGTAAAAACAGACAAAGGCATTTAAAGTCAGTATTTTGCAGCCTCACAGGAACACAAGCATATCATTAAAGTAGAAATACAGTATTTAATCTTCTAGTCACTCAGGTTGCAAACCTTTCAAATATCTATTTTGAAGGTGAGCAAAACCTTTAAAAGCTGATATTGCTATTTTTTTTGGTGCTCCCTGAAAGAAAAGGCATTCATAAATATGGCCACTGACTCTTCAGGAAGAAGGATGCAAAGAAAAGTCTTAATAATTTTCCAGTTGAAGACACTTGCAAAATAACCTGCCCAGTTCAGTTATGAGCAATACAGCTAGAAAAGATGACAGAACTGAACTCCTTCTCATCTTCACAGAAAGCAAAAGAACCGCACAAAGTTAGCCAATTAGAAGAAAAACACAAAAAGAAGAGTGGAAAATATTACACCTAAGGAGAGAAATGTAATAACCTACATTGCAGCAATAGTGAAGAATATGATTTAGTGCTCAGAAATTAACATTAGTGCAGCAACGCTGTTTGCAGAAGTGGCAATAAGTGGCAATAAGTGGCATCTGTGAACGAGACTACGGCAGTGGTGCAGACAACTGGACAATTATTTCAAGTCTGCATTGAAAGCAGAAGGGTTCTGTGCATACACACATTTACACACTTTCCTCGTACTTGCCAGGTGTATCTACAAAGGTTTTACTTTTATGGTTAATAATAGGGAACACCAGGAGACAATTTTTTCCAAGGCAACATTTTTTTATCTTATTTTGCAAAAATTTACATGAAAAAGGTATCAAACTGTTTTCAAAAATAGCTTTGACATAGAAATAAAAATAAAGCTTTATTTGTAAAAGCAAGAATTCACATGAGTAAGATTAGTCTTAGAATTAAAGCTTAGAATATGTTCAAAACTGAAAATGGAGAGAACAAGCCAACTGCTTTGTTTGTTTTCTTTAAATTGAGTAAAAAAACACTTGTTTATTTCTCTAAACACTGCCAGAGACATTTCAGAACTAATGCCTTAAATTTCTTATGACTAAACTCTGAAAGAATTGTAAGATATTTTAGATGGGGAGGGCTTTGAGTAGCTCTTCAAAACTTACCTTTACTAGTGGCCTGAAAGACAGAAACTTCTGTAAGAGGTACTGCATTTTCTGTGACTTGGATTATTTCAAGAGACTGAATTGAGAGGATGGGGATTACTTAAATCTTTTTTTTCCAAAAAGATCAAAATTAAAAGCTGGAAAGCTGAAATAAAGATTATTTTTTTTTAATATTCCCATTGAAAAGCAAGTGCACAGGAGGTCAAACACTGCTAGCTATGGGTTTCTTTTGTGCCTCATTTGTGAAAATTAGTTATGACCATCCCTAATTCAAGAACAAGATGAAAAGCTCATCACAAGCAGCTTAAAGGGAAGGCAATATTATCACAGTTAAGGCTTTCTAACAGTTGTTGAAGAAAACCTGGTCCTTGAGACAAGATTCATGGTCAACTACCGAGATTTCCAGTTCTTCTCAGAATAGACTGACACAGAAATTGTACAGGGTGCTTTTAGCCATCACATTCTTCTGGTACCTCCTGATGTTTAGGATTAACAGCACCATCAGCACAATCCTACCACTCTCTCACACTAACAGTGCTCATGGAGAGTCTTCTCCAGCTTCCAGGAGGATCTGTGCAGAAAAATGGTCACCTGTTCATACTCTATGACCTAGTGGAACCCAAAACATTGGCATCTCACTCTGATTATGCAGAGTACTAGCAGAGCAAACATCATCTTTTTCTATAAAATCAAAAACTTGAGAGCATCTCCTATTTTCCCTTATGCCGGAAGGTTTCATAAGAGACACACTTCCTTCTTCAAGAGCAAGAAGCTCCATGGACAGTGCAGCTGCAGCTTCCTGCACGAGTGCTCAAGACCCTAAAGGAGACTGGGGAGCCCAATGGAAAATAGCATTGGGGGGTGAGGGGAGTTTGAGCCACACAGCATCATAGGACATGGAAGAGAAGAGGCTTCCTGACTTAGAAGGATGAGATTACCTGAAAAAAAAAAAGATAATATAATCCTGGAAGATAAAAACAGGCACAATGGGGATTTCAGAGGCTTGCATCATTGATGACCTTTACTCAACCTCTGCCTTTTCATAGTAGAAATGACCCCTCCTCCTACAAAGCAGACTCACTGCAGCCCTGCCTACCTTCTAGACTTCTTTTTTTGTCAATGGAGAATTGACATCACATTAAAGAGGAAAGTGCAACTCAGAAGGGAGGCCTCTAGTGGCATGAAAAAAAATATTGGGTGAATAATACATTAAGCGTGCTTACAGTTCGCAAGACAAACTAGAAAACTTCTTTTTAAAAAGAAGAAGTATTTTGTTTAGGTTTTTTCTTATTTGTTTACCAAAAAAAAAAAGAAAAGCCTTACCTCTGGTTCAGATTTTACTTCTGATTTTGCTTGGCCCACTGGTGTGATTGCTTTAGCTTTCATCTCAGGCCTTCCCTGTGAGTTTCCAACACCAGCTACAGACTTGTTGGCAGACACGGTGCTGGTAATGGGTTTGACCTGAGCCGCTGGGGTAGAGGGTCGCCTGTTGTTGCTCATTTCCATGGCGTGTGACGGGGCTATCGGCAACTCCCGCAGGTTACTATTCCTTGGAGCAGTTGACTGTAGCTGCTGATTTGGACGCTTGACAATATTTTGTGATGGTGTATTCTGAAAAGCAGAAAATTAAAAAAAATGCAGCCTTTCATCACAATCCAGACTAAAGTGTTCCCTGTTTTACATTTTCATGAATAAGCTAAGTTGAGGAAAAAGAACGCTTTTCAAAGAGTTTCAATATTTTCAATGTGCAATGAAAAATTGCAGAAATGAGAACATTTTAACAATGGTTTTATTTTTCTTTAATTAGAAGCAAAACTGAATCTCACTTAACATTGTTCTCAGAAATTGGCTTCACTGTGTGATTTATTTTCCTAATCAAATCAGTTACTCTAAACTCCAGTCATGTTGTCAGACTGTTGTGCTACCCCAACCTACCAAACATCAGAATCTGCTGCACTGGAGCGAACTCACAAGACATGAGTGGCACTATCTGAACCAGAAACCTTATTTGCATTGGTACAGAGAGGCCTTCAAATTGAAAACCAGTGTCAGAGAACTGGGCTCCCACACAATCACAGGCCACCAGCAATTTAAAAATCTTACTAAGCAAACTTATCCTCCAAAACCTCTTTATTACCAGTTCTTGGGCAACTGCATCATCTCTAACTGGACCCAGATCAAGAACAACACTGAAGACTGGAGGAGAAAAGAAAAAGGGAAGGATACACATGCTATTTTTGGATGTAGGTTATAAAATGATCAAGGCAGAAAAGGAGCAAGAAACAGTGAAAGAACCTGACAGAGCAGGACGGAATAAATGGGACTGAAAAACCATGCTGGTGAGTTTTTAAACTTGTGCTTACATGCCTGTTACCCACGCTGAACTATGCAAGGCACCACTGATGTATGTGGTACTTACATGTCTTGGCTTCATTGGACCCTGTCGCGGCTGACACTGCATCCTATTGTTATTTGGCTGCTGCTGTGTGGCCTGCATATGAGGCCTGAACTGTGGTTGGTTCATGGGCATTAAGGGCTGTGGTGGCCCTTGGAGATGATGATGGTGTTGTTGCTGCTGCTGCTGGTGATGATGTTGATGTTGCTGCTGCTGCTGGTGATGGTGCTGCTGAGGCTGAGGTTGTGGCTGAGGCTGTAATGGGGGATGCAAGGGACCCTTCACATGAAGAGAAAGATTATTTGTTTTTAGTTTCAAGGTAATAAATTCCTGAAAAGTAGCTCAAGCCTCCCAAGTCCTCAAAACTTCTGTAAGCAGCTATACCGAATCATAGAATAGGTTGGAAGGGACCTTTAATATCATTGAGTCCAACCATCAACCTAACACTGACAAAACCACCACTAAACCATGTCCCTAAGCAGCACGTCTACCTGTCTTTTTAATACCTCCAGGGATGGTGCCTCAACCGCTTCCCTGGGCAGCCCATTCCAATGCTTAATAACCCTTGCAGTGTAAAAATTTTTCCTAATATCTAATCTGAACCTCCCCTGCTGTAACTTGAGGCCATTTCCTCTTGTTCTACTGCCTGTTACCTGGGAGAAGATACCAACCCCCACCTCTCTACAACCTCCTTTCCTGTAGCTGTAGAGTGATGAGGTCTCCCCTCAGCCTCCTTTTCTCTAGGCTTAACAAGCCCAGTTCCCTAAGCCACCCCTCATAAGACTTGTGCTCCAAACCCTTCCCCAGCTTCACTGCCCTTCTCTGGACTCACTCCAGAATCTCAGTATCTTTCTTGTAGTGAGGGACCCAAAACTGGATGCAGTATTCGAGGTGGGGCCTCACCAGTGCCGAGTACAGGGGGGCAATCACTTCCCTAACCCTACTCACCACACTATTTCTGATACAGGAATACAGCTATGGACCAGGCTAAATGAAAAACAGACTATCAGAAGCTGCATATGGTAATTGTACCCATAAACCTATGCAAGTCAGCAGCTGATGTGGAAAAAGGAAAATGCAAGGCTCCCTGCCTTCTGTCCCCTTTTCTAATGACTTCTAAACTGTTTGGGTTTTGGTGTTGTTGGTTTTTTTTTCCCCCTTTTGTTCTGCCCTCCCTCCTTCCCTCCCCAACTTCAGGATTTCTCCCCACGCAGAACACCGAAACCACAGAATCTTCTAGGTTGGAAGGGACCTTAAAGATCATCTTGTCCAACCGTCCCCCTAACTTTGACAAAAACAGACACCTGCACAACAAACAAAAAGCAACACCATCACTAAACCATACCTCCCAGCACTACATCAACCCGTCTTTTGAACACCTCCAGGGATGGTGCCTCAACCACCTCCCTGGGCAGCCCATTCCAATGCCTGATAACCCTTTTGGTGAAAAATTTTTTCCTAATATCCAGAAAAGATATTTTTCCTAATATCCATGAAAAGATGCCACACGAAGCCCACCGACCCCGCATCCCTAAACCCGCTTCACGCTGCGACTCAGCCTCCTCCCCGGTTTTGCGGGAGGCCCCCGGCTCCCCGCCGGGCCCCGCAGCCGAGCGGCAGAGGGCGCTCCCTCCCCGCCGCTCACCCCGCCGGGGCCGGGCAGAGCCGTACCTGCATGGCGGGCTGCGTGTGGGCGGCCAGGAAGGGCTGTCCCGGGGCCTGCAGGAACTGCTGGCGGGGAGGGATGAAGGGCCGGGGGCTGGCCGAGCCCGGCTGGTTGAAGTGGAGAATCCCCACGGGACCTTGAGGCTGCATGTTGGGCCGCACCGGGCGCTCTCGGGGAAAGACGGGCTGCTGTCCCTGCTGGTTGAAGGCGGGCCCGGGCTGGGTGAAGGGCATGGGGCTCTGGGTCGGTACCGGGTGGGCGCTGTTGAGAAGAGGGGGGGGTGGCGGTGGAGGGGGGCTCCGCTGCTCAAACAGGTGATGGCTGGGAAACCTCGGATCTGCGGGAAGCAGGGAAGAGAGGAAATGACAACCTGCCCCAGACAAAAAAAAGACACTCTCAATACCTAAAGCTCTATCCTGATTTGGAAAAACAAGCTGAAATCTGTAGAGAGCAAAACTGTATGGGGTGTTTCAATTTTAAGGGCTACCTACCCCTCAAGGTTATGTCCCCCTTGCTTCTGCCACTCATGTGTAGAAGGAATTGATGCTTGAAAGACCAGCACAGCTGGAACTAGCAATACCTTTCAGAAATTCTACTTCAATGAAATCAATGAAGGATTCCAGGGACTATAGTTTATACCCCACAAGAACTCATAAAAAACTGGTAACATTTGCCAACCAGGCACTTAGCCAATTTTTTACATATTTTGTATAAAAACTCTATAACATATACATTATATATACACATATGAAGTATGTATGATATATACATATATCTATACCTACACACACTATATATTTTGTTTGCTATGCTGTATCATTTTAGTTGATTTCTTACAGTACACAAAAAATCCAGATGGTTTAAAGAGTTACTAGTGGAAACCAAAGTGTATGGAGAGTACTAGTCACCTAAAACATAACTAATCACAACAACTTTATTGCAACAATGACATAGATACTAATTTTATTTTGTATTTGTATAAATCAATTGTATGATTGATGGTAGTTACAGTCGGAGACACAAGATTACATCAAGGAAGGAAAAAGATACCAGACTATTATGGTTTTCAGCATTTACCAGTCTGGCTACATCAAGCAGATCTTGGGGTCTGCAGGCTCTTCTGAACACTTCCATGTTATTATATGATCCACACTTACACTGCAGAGCCACTTTACAAAACGTGCCTTTTGTATGTAAATGGTAATGCAAACGCCTACCTGCTATGAAGAAAGGATCTCTTTCCTGAGGAGGTGGAGGAGGGAGTGGTGGTGGAGGTGGTGGTGGCCCTCTCCACTGGTCCTGGATTGGCAGCCTTGGGGCTTGGGAGAAGTTGGTAGGAACTGGTCCAGGCGTATGCTGCTGAAAGTCTGGAGGGCCCTATTTAATAAGGCAGAACTAAGATTAAGACTACCATCCAGGAATTCATCTATTGCCTGCTATAACTTTTTCCTCTTAAAAATACAATTGCTTTATGAGTTCTCTTCTATCATCAGTACAAATTGGCAGCCCTTACTGAGTCATTCTTTCACAATGGAAGAGATATTAAACCCGAGTACAGTATCTTGAAATGAATTCACGATGTTTTAATAATCACTAGCACTGCAGGAATGCCATTTCTTCTCAAGCTTATTGAAATCCATGCAATTATTGACCTTCTTTCCCATTAATCCAAAGAAATCTGAATGTCTACTTTAGAAGACATTCCTGACATTTATCTTCTTAAACCGAGCTATTCTTCGGCATGAATTTAGTACAATGTAAGCTACAAAAGTGAAGCAGATTTACTTATAAAAAAAGGGAGGGGAAGACAATTTATGGCATCCCAAAAATTAAAGAAATCATCTTTCAAAAAGAAGTAACAGGAGAGTAACACTTCTGTCTATTCACAGCTTAGCATCTGAAAGCATAAGAGAAGTGTGCAAAATTATCTTTCCTCCAGTTTTTTTTTTAAATGTAAAGTGAGCCTTTACATATTGCAGAAAGCATGATGTTAATCCAAACTCAGAACTTAGCAGAAACCACAATTAATTGAGTAATTCACACTATTACCATTTTTTCTTTTACATCAGAAATTGACAAAATATGTTGGCAACCTCTGATCACTGGAAGAAGCTATGCCTCACATAAATCATTACATTAACAAACATTTCATTATGTGTGAATAAATAAAATAAGTAATGAAAAATAATCTAAGAACATCCTTGTTTTCCCTCTTTATACGTATCCTGAAATTAGTGGTGGCATCTATTCTTCCTAGGTTTGATGCTCACTTTAAAGCTTAAAACTTGCCACTGCTGACAACAAGCTTCCCAAAACAGATTTCCAACCAAATGCTCTCTGCTAGACTGAAATGTGGTCTTCAGCAAAGGACCAAACCACTGAGTTGCAGTGGCTTATCATTTACCTATTAAACTGCATGCAGTCTCACTCTCTCCTATTTGTACTGCAAAAATGCTAGGATCTTAGGAAAAGGTACAAAAAGCAAAAATGGGTATTTGCCCTGGAAACTGAAGTCTACTCCCTACCAAAGTACAAGAAAAAGCTGCTTCACCCCCTTTTACCAGCACAATACAACTGTGATTGGCAAGGCCCAAACAAGCAAATGCGAGGCACTGAGGATCACAGTCATTATTAAATCTGTGGCCTTCTTGAAAACACCTCAATGGGGGTGTGTGAGATACTAAGACCTCTTATTTGGAAGCAATACTGTGAATACTTATTTTATGTCATTATACAGCCATCAGCTGTAAATACTTTATCATTCCTAGAGATTAAAGGGTCTATATCCCATTCCCAGAGCTCCGAGTCAGCCAGTCTCCTGTGGGTATTTCATTTAGTGGAAAGACATTATATTACACTCAAGCATGACAGTCATCAGAACATACACACTGTTTGTAGGAGCTGCTACACTTCTGCAAGTGAACAGTTACCAACACAAAATATTCTTCCCACCTCGGAAGAGACTAATGCCTTCGAATTTCACAGGCCACCTGCAAACAGCAGCAGCTGGAGGAAGAGGGAGCTATTTGGAAGGGAGAAAGCAACATTTATTTGTCCCATCGAAATCCATTTGGGTTTAGCTGAACAAGGCTGTCCAACTGCATTGCCCTTCCCTGGTGTGGAGCAGGACAGCGCTGGCCGCCTGCCAGAGAGCAACTCAACACAAACCTTGAGGATCCTGACCCTTCACTCCCAAAACGCACCTCCACCCTCACTGCACGTAGGAGCTGCCAGAGGTGCTTTCTAACTAAGGTTAAATGCATTCCCTCCCCTTGGAAGCCTGGGTGATAAAAGCCGCTTTCTCAAAGCGCTGCCACAAACCACACGGCCTCCAGGGAGGCACCCAGCACACCCACTGACATGCAGCTATGAAGTGATTAGTTTATCACTGGATAATGCATAAGGTCATTGCAGGCAGGGGAGAAACTAGTTCATCAGGGCAGTTTCACACAAGATGGTTTTTATCTTGCATCTGATTTACAGCACGCGGTCACACGAGCGTGTCGCGCCTGGGGACAGAAAGCGACCTCAACAAACTGCTTCTTCCTATTTTTGGAGAGCTTGACTTGGAAGCTCTAAAATTCTCCCCGCATTTTTCTGTAGACATAATGTATGCCTGTGTATATTTTTGTTATTTCTACAACAGCCAACAGAATCATGTGGAAACTTACTGACACCTGGGCTAATAAAGCCTAAGTATCACTTATTTGCACCCGAGCTGAAGAACTGGCAGCAGTAATGATGCGGCTGGGATCCCTCACAGTTAAGAATTCTGGTGGTTTTTTCCACTTACTTTTTAATTAAGGTTCCAGTTATACTTTAAAGCTGAGAAGTTTTTAAAGGTTAACAAATGTTTTTCTAATCCTAAAGCCAATGCTCCTTCTACATTTTTTTATTTAAAGTAACACGAAGATCCTTTTTATAACCTGAAAGGAACGTGGAGCCCTTACTGCACACACAATGGAACAGAGAGCTGGGTTTTTAAAACCTTAAAGTTTCAAAAATGGCAAAAACCACAGAAGTACAGCTGATATAAATCATGCCACAGTAAAGCTGCACGCTATGCAGATAACTGAGGAAGAAATACCTACTTATTTGATCACTGAACAGGTTTTAACATTATGTATATGACATTTTGAAGAACTACTAAAATATGACTGATCACATTTCTTGGCTGATAACCAAAGGCCAATCATGCAAAATTAATTGCAAAGACATTTGTTATTTGCTGAAAAACGAATTACCAATATTTGCTTCTAAAAAGAAAAAAAGAGAGAAATTAGCTTGATTCTAACATCTGTAAAAAAAGACTGACCTTCACTTTTTCTCTAAACCAACTTTGCTTCTACTATTCCTTAAGAGTGAAATAAAACTCTGCCCTAAACTCTAGTTACACATGTAGGGGGAAGCTTGTATTTTCAGACTTTACATTGCTGAGATTTTTCTTCTGAAAAAGCTTTCAGGACAATTCCAACAGGAGTTTGATTGTGTGATGGATTAATTTCATACCCTACATGTGAAACTAAAACTCTAAGGTTCAGCCAGACAAAAATGAACTTTTCTTTTAGTAAGAAAGTATGTAAACTACAGTGGGTATTTTTCTAAGTTATGCGGTACTTGTCTATCATTCTGAAATACCATTACATTTTTATTAATTTTTTTCAGTTTAATAGGAGTACACTAATACTACAATTTCAACTTCTACTTGTGCCAAATTCTAATTATCCTAAAAATAGTACAAATTAATATAACAGTTTTCCATCACTTAAAGTTTTTGCGGGTTTTGTTTTGGGGTTTGTTGGTTGTTGTGGGTTTTTTTTGCTTAACGGTAGTCAAACTATAATTCTAGGAGTGGATTATTTAACCATTAGTGTTAAACTCCACATGCAGCAAGTATGTGCTGCTAATAACCCCCAAGTGCCCTCTGGTATTTTGTAGAAAAGACCACACAGAGCTATTTAACTTCAAAAATTAATGAAGAGCAGGTGCAAAAGCCAGTTTTCATAATAGTCTATTTTTGATAAAAATAAGCATACTGTAACATAGATGCATAATAAATCTTTATATGCACAGTAGTTACTCCCATTTTTCATGGTTTTGCTATCTGTACAGTTCCAAATTCCAACCAACTATTCAGTACACATATCAACTAAAACTCCCTACTAAAAATAATTTCAGCTATTGCTTTGCCATTTTTAAATCTTTTAGGAAACTTCCCTACTTAATAAATCTCAACCATCTTCAAAATACATATTTTCGAGTTAACAGGTTTCAACTTCACAGAAGAGAGAATTGCAAATTCATATGATGAGCCAAGGCTGCAGGATTCTACATTTCCATCCAACATTAGGGCCAACTCTGACATTGGGGGAAAGGACAAAATATTTGTGTGCCTTTCCAGTGAGATCCCACACGACTGGTCCACGTTCATACAGAAATGGTTACAAAGACTAAGCTACCAAATGTCCGTATGAGAAAGACCCAGCAGAGCACATACAATGACTATTTCTCAGCAAGGCTCTGGGGGCTGCAAGGGGACACAGCTCTGCCAATTCTGTCTTGTCTTCTGTAAAAACACAACACCAAAACCTCAACACCAAAAGCAACGTTCTGAACATAAAGATATTTCTTAAACTACCACAGAGTATTTTTTGCTCTGTACTTTTTCCTGGTTTTAAGGAGTGTGTTCGACTATCATTTCATTTATCCTTGTGTAATTTTACTTTGAAAATTCTTACGTTCCATCTTTTCTAAGCTACCAAATGTCCGTATGAGAAAGACCCAGCAGAGCACATACAATGACTATTTCTCAGCAAGGCTCTGGGGGCTGCAAGGGGACACAGCTCTGCCAATTCTGTCTTGTCTTCTGTAAAAACACATCAATGGGCAGAGCACATACAATGACTATTTCTCAGCAAGGCTCTGGGGGCTGCAAGGGGACACAGCTCTGCCAATTCTGTCTTGTCTTCTGTAAAAACACAACACCAAAACCTCAACACCAAAAGCAACGTTCTGAACATAAAGATATTTCTTAAACTACCACAGAGTATTTTTTGCTCTGTACTTTTTCCTGGTTTTAAGGAGTGTGTTCGACTATCATTTCATTTATCCTTGTGTAATTTTACTTTGAAAATTCTTACGTTCCATCTTTTCTTGGAATACAAGAACTGAGGTCTAGAAGAAGGAAATTACATCGGAAATAGGGTTCTGTGTGGATTTTTAAAGAAACCATAATCACAGACATTTAAGAAATACTTCAAAGGAGGAGATAAGGGCACACTGAAGTGCTACTGACAGGTATTTTATTGTCTTAGATCTTTGATTTTGTGAAGTTTACTCTGACAAAGAAAAAAATGTGCTCGCTCTTCCCCCCCCAA